AGCAGGAGTAATGCTAGTCTTGCAGTGCTTATTGTGGGCTTCGATCCTGCTGATGCTTATGTACAGAAGTCAGCATACTGGGCTTCTGCACAAAGTTAATCACCTTCGTGAATGCTTGCAGATAGACTATCCAGTTCTGATCCTACAAATATTCATTCTTGAACTCAACTTTAAACACGACAGTGTTCAAACCGAATGTTTTCTGTAGTTTCAAAGCCTCCTGGCGAACGAGGCTATCACCTACTCTGTGCTTTGAATTAGGTCCTGTACTTTCTTCAGTGGCTCTTACTGGGGTGTGTAGGATACTTAGACAAAGCTCATCTGCCTAAGGGGAAAGATAAGCAAAGTTACCTTCTCGTGCTTCAGTCCCAATTATTTGTGTGTAGCTGCATATTTAGTTTTGGAAGAAATTATAATCTATTAAACATTAAAATCCTGAAAGAGTAATTTTACTATTTCTGAAAGAGTATCTCAGTGTAATGCTATTTCTAATAAATGGCTTACATATTTTTCATAATCTTTATGTCAACCAAATTTTGAACAATGAGATTGAAATTACAAATGTGGGTAGACAATATTATCACATTCAAGAAAATGCACCTGCTCAGCTGTAGAAAAGGATACATGCTGCCGTTAGCAAATGATTTCTGAGGCTTTTCAAATAAAGCGGTGAACTGGTAATGATGTCTGTCAATTGGTGAAATAACCTATTTCGTCTTCAGATAGGATTTTCTGATTTTGATTAAACAAAATGTCTCCAAAGGAGCATAGTACCATATTTGTAATTTTTTTTTTTTTTTACTCTTCAAGTCTTCCTGAGCTATTGGTATTCTTGAGTCCCGATCTGAGATATTTTCTTTGGGAATATGCCATATCCCCTTTCTACCATTGCTTCCTTCTACAGTAACAAAGATAGTGTTTATTATTACATTCCCTATATATTATTTCCATACATCACACTGATCAGAGAAGGAAATACTAGCTTTTAGTCTTATGCTCACTGGTTTACATGCAATGAAGTGTCGTAGGCACAGGCCTCTGGCCTTCATGGTCTAAATGTGGTTGAGTGCCATTTTGTTATTATTGCTTACTTCTCACAAATGACTTTCTCAATTTCATCCTGCCTAGTTTTTGAGAGACATCGTCAAGGTATAAAGAGACTGACAATGAAAAGGAAATCAGTAGCTGGCGGCACTGCATCAGAAAAATTATTATTCTGTTATGACTACAAACAGTAGCATCAAATGTGAAAACAGACTTTCAAATTAATTAGCATTTAAGCGAAATGAGTCTAGAATAATTATAACATTCCTTTTAAGTAGCTATGTTTACAAGTGCATCTCTGCTTTCTATTAACTCCTTGCTAGGGAAAAATAACAAATAAATACACATTTCGAGTTCTGAATATCTTCTGTGTTCATACTTTTTTACAAAGGCTCAGGAGAATAAAAAAACAATGTTATTGCCCTGTTCTTCACAGATCCAGTGAAAGTGAAAGCTGCCTATTCTTCCCAAAGGCAGACAGCCTTTTATTGCTCCTATAGATGTGGGGGAATAGGCACATTTTTCTCCATCTCCCATACCGTGACTCTTCAAACATCTTTTGGGTGAGAGATCTTTGAGTAGACTGTGCCAACAACCTCTATACATCCACTAGGACACCTCTTTGCAAGCCCAGTGAGGATACTTCTAGCCTATTGCAGCTACAAATGGATGTAAAGAGACCAGATCTGATATGCTTTTCATTGCTATTCGTACTTTAAGCACTATTTCACGTATCTTTTTGCTTTTTACATCTAAGCCTATCTAGTGTATTCCAAAGTGACTGGTATAAGTGATCAGAGTCACAGAAGCTGTGTGTAAGCTTCTTGGAAACTCAAAGATTTCAAATCATCTGAGCACCAGAAGTACTAAATCTTTTATTATATCCCATTTTCCCTTGAGCATTCCAACTCTGCAGAGAAGAAGTAAACAAATCATTTTTTATTGTCTTCTTTGTGCAAGGATGGTGATAGCTGGGAAGAGAAAAATAACAAAACCTGAACTAGCTAGGCTACTGTTATGATAAATGAGTAATCTTTGCACATTTGCATCAACTTTATTTAATATTTTTTCACATACAGATACTTCATCGATTTGAAGAATGATGTGGACAGCTACTTTACAATAGATGCTACTGAAGGAACCATAGCTACTAATGAATTACTGGACAGAGAAAGCACAGCACAGTACAATTTCTCTATAATTGCAAGTAAAGTTAGTAAGTATGACATAAACTGAATTAATATGCTAATGTGGTATTTTTTTTCAGAATGCAGTGCTCAGGCATAAATTTGCTGTGAAGAGTGCATGTATAGCCAAGAGATTATTTAAGAAGGCCCAATAAATATCAGTTTGCCAGACTTGCTGTGAGGCTGTGATGTTCAAACAGCCCTGTATAGTAAGGTTTTTCTAGTAGCCCTCATGTAGGCACAGTTCCCTCAGAAGCTGAAAAATATTTTGTTAGCACATTCCAGCCTGCAATAGGTGTGCCCAGGTGGCCCAGCTCCTCGAACAGTGGCCAAATTGCAGGAGGAAGTGTCAAGACTGAGGAGTATCAGGGAGTGTGAGCAGGAGATAGATTGGTGGAGCTGCACCCTACCATCCCTGAGGCAAAGGCAGGAGACAGAGGCTCCACAAGGAGCAGAGGATCCCCTCCCCTCTTGCCAGCAGGACGAAGGAAGGGACCTAAGAGAAGGGGGAGAATGGAAACAGATCCCAGCCCGGGGGAGGAGGCGAATCCCCTCCCAACCTTCCTCGCCCTCCCAATTGACTTTACACAATAGATATGGGGCACTGGAGCTTGAGGGCCAGGAAGATAAGGAGGAAGAGGAAGGTCCATCCAGG